AATCCCACTCTATAGAGATCTCCTCGAGTAACCATCAAATCCCCCACCCTCTTATTGTTTCAGGTCCTCCCTTAAATTCTAAAATATCGTGCCTTTGCCGGAAATTATTCCGATATTTATTCCCCAGTCAAAGTCAAAATTTTCACGTGTATATTTACGCGCTTCGTTATATTTTTTTGTGAAAGATATAAATTTTCAACGAAACAAATCGACGCATGTGTTCTAATTAATTATTTACGTGCCCTTGTCTAGCCTTTCCTGAGTTACAGCTCTCTACTGGTTTTTTTTGTTAAAATCTCGCCGGAACACAGTGTGTAAATGTCTGGTTTTTCAATTGATTTTGATTCTGGTGACCACACCTTATTCAGAGAGTAAATGAGTTTGCATCAAGCATTTGGATTATCATTTAGGAAGTGTCTATTAATTGTACAGTTTTTGAGATATTCTGTGCAATTGCAATTTTCACGAAATTCCAAGAAATTGTTTTTTGAATGCTTTTTTTAAATCGCTTTGAGTCGGAGGAGACTATGTGGGGGTTGATCAAAACTTTTAAATCTGGTCAAATCTCACCAATCTACCCGGTCAAGAATCGAACCTCAAACCTATCCGTTGCGAGGCCGCGACCTTAACGACTACGCCAGGCCACCGGGCCCAAAAAATTATGATATCGACCAATTTGAAACTCGGCAAAATATAGACTCGGCAATTATACACAAGTTCACATATATATAGTTTTACCATTTCTGTAACAGCATTGAAGTGCTAAAAATGAAAATAAAACTCTGTGAGAAGCAGAGAAGTGAGATTGTACATGCTAATCAAGTAGAGAAAATCTCGCATCGATGCGCCACCTTTGCGAATATCATTATTATATCAAATAATCGTGTTTTGTCCTGTTTTTCACATGAAAAAAAAATCACTCAAAAATTAATAGGTTTGGTGTGTATGTCTGTATATTTCTGGGGAGATTTCGACTTTCCAAAAAAGAAGAATCCGCAAACTTTATGCCAAGAATGTGAAGTGATATGGAATATTGGACATTATTCGGGAGCATATCTAGGCAAAATTTTCGATTCGTCGGTCAATGACTTTTTAAGATGTCCCAATTTCGCCAAACAATTGTTTTTTTCGAATAATTCAAAAACTACATGGCCGAAACGAAATTTTTGAGTGTCAATGCAGCGACTCTTAATCCACGTAAAAGTTGCTTTAAAAATATGAATTTTGGGTACATATTGTTATTATAGTGCTGTCAACTTGTGTGTGAAATTTGGTGTTGACAATAACCGAAAATTATCTTTAATAGCCTATAAAACCAAGAAATTCAGTGAAGATTTTTAAACTATAGATTCAATAATTAACAAAATTATAAATATTCACGAATTTTTCGACAAATTAAATAGTTCTACATAGAACTATCCGGCGAGCTATTTTTTTCGAATTTTGCTGAAAACCGGTAGATTTTCACAAATTATTCGGCCTACAAGACTGAAAAACTTTGTCGAAATTTCCATGCCCAATTCTCGAGATTCACGGTGTACCAATCGCAACGAAATATTTTCCCCTCCAAAATTCAAAATTTAGGGGAAAATTCGAACAAAACTTTGAATTTCCGTACCACTTCTTTTCGTAAGTCAATATGAAACCGGAAAATTTCAGTAAATGTATTGTGGAATTTTGAAAAGAGTGATATAAAATGTAAGTTGGAAGAAAAAAACCAGTTGAAAATTGACACCTAAATCTCAATAAAATTTCATCTTTTTTCTGAGCGTCTATGCCTGCTTTAAAACGGCTTTCTAAGACCATCGGTCCAAGGGAAAAATTGTTCATCAGTTTGATTCCAAGCGGGAACGCTCCAAGATTTTGGTTCCGAACTGGCGCGTTCCGCGATTGTCGTTCCGAGCGAGAATCTTTCTGCGTCCTTCGTTCCGTCGAAGTCCCTGGTGTTAGGTAACTAGTTTTCCGAACTTCATCTCCGATTTAGTGCCAGCATACACATAACACAAATTTTTTTTATCATATATAAATATAAACAGTATTGAACCTTACTCATTGGTAATTAGAATTTATATATTCATTAATTTTTGCCATTTTTGAGTTTTTTCAAAAATCAGTTCTCTACGATAACTCAACAAGCATGTTTCGAAATATAACAATTATAGGGAAAAAACATGGGTAGAACATTGAACCTCAATCGATCAATGCTCGGCCAAGTTTTTTTCCATTGCTTTTAACAGCATTGCAGTTTAACTGGGTTCTTTATTTGATGTAATTTGCTTTTGTCGCATAGAAATTTATTCAAAACGTTAACTTGGGAGAATTTTTCTAAAAACATCAGTTTTTAAATTTTAGAAGAAAACGGAAGAAAATCTTCATATAAAAAAATTAATTCGATATAATCAATTTTGAGATATTCCACTTTATCATTTTATACAAAAATTGAATAACTCAAAAAATAATGGTTCAATCAAGCTCATTTTCAATACCTCCCGTTGTAGTGATAAAAGGAAGATCTCGTGCCAATTTTAAATTGATAGCTCGAATTTTACGTGGGTGAGAGAGCGAAAAATATTTTTTTTCGAAAAACAGAAAAATAACTAACTATATTGCTACGTCAGGAAATATATCGCAGATTATCATGAATATCAATTATTTAATTAATTGAAATGTCAAACGATTGAATAAAAGAACTTGAAATAAAAGGTCAAGGCGTAATATCGACCGAAATTCCGTATTTGAACCAAGTCTAAATTTCCCTTGATATTATTACTCGTATAAGAATGAAACAAGTCTTTTTTTCTATTGTCCCTGCGAGTAAAAGTCACCTTCACTTGGGTGGTGAGGTAGGGTGACGTCACCAAATAATTTCTATAAGATATAGCTAGCAGGGCAACATAAAGAAAATATGGAAAAAAACCAGGGAAAAATTTTAATAAATCAAAAAACTATTGCAGAAATGATTAACACAAGAAAAAGCGAAGAAATAAGGTGAAATAAATGAATTCCTCGTTATATAGCGATCACGTGATCAGGTGTAACCCTTGGAATTGTCTCCAAATGCGTTATTACCAGGAATCTCAGATGTCTGTACTTGGTGCCCCAACATCGTACGATGCCTCTTTCCTTATTAACGCATCTTAATCGGTATCCATGCATAATTTAAGGCAATAAAAGAATTGAAGTTAAAAGTTCGCACCGAAGCACCCAAACGCAGTATAGTTAGTAGTTAGCAGTCAGTATTGAGAGTATTGTAAGTAATAACGAGGAGTCCAATGTGGTCAGTCTTCCTCAATCGTAGTCAATCGTAATAGCAATAGTCAGGGAAAAATCCATTAGCACAAACAGTTCTGTATTCCTTTTTCCGTGACTTCCTTCGTATTTCCAATTCCGCGATTTTATCAAGTTTTAGAACTAACAAAATTTGATGACATATAATTTATTAGTGACCAGAAATTAAGGTGATTTAATTTTGCAACATTTAATAACTGATAAACATTTGATTGGTGTTGGAACTCATCGAGTAACAAGGAGCTAAATTTTCGGAACTTGGATTACACCACAGGAAACTGCGGACAAATTGATGAGTTGAATTTTTTTTTATTATTCAATTTCTATTATTTCCCTTTTCATAAAGAGAAGAATTGAAGAACTATGATAGAAATTTCGGTCATGAAAAAATAATAGGAAATTTCTTAATAAATTTTCGATAAATTTCAGTCTAATAATTGAATAAAATTAGAATTGTAAATTAAAATTTTATTCCCATATTATTTTCGCAATTCACCGTCCTTCGACCTCAAGCTATTTCCAAAACGTACGCTCAAAACAGGAAAAACAATACTCATAATTTTCCACTATTTATTTGATCATTATTATCAAATATTTAATGGAAAACGTGACGTAACAATATGATTTATTCCAGGGTTCACTTTCAAAATTGGATTAATTCCAATAGATCCAAAATCATAACGAAAAAAATGAAAAAAACAAAAAACTGAATACTTTGGTTAGTTTTGGACATATTTCGAAAAAACGACTTATAAACTCTCACCTACTATCTGACAAAATTTCAAATATTTTATAATTTATTCGCCCACCCCTATCTTTTCTTAACTAAAAAATGAACCCTAGTCGAGAGGGTACACGCACTGAAAGTTTCAAAAAAGGTTGTATTTGTACATTTCAGACCTTTCTACACCGTTTCCAAGCAAAATTAAATTTTTTCTTTGTTTGGGATTGAACGATTGTAATGTTTCCAGTCGGAAACAAAAACATGTAAAATGTATCGAGAGTAGTAATTATATGTCAAATGTCATGTAGCTCCTGTGGCACTGCTTGTTTATATACCCAAATTAAGGATGTTCTGCACGTATAGTCAAAGCAAAAGTGTATGACCCTTTCTATAATTGCTTGTATTTATGGCAATTAATTTTCAAGTAATATTTCAATGCGTTAAGTAGTTGAAGTAATAGCCATTGAAAATTATTATATTGTATTTGATTTTATGAATAAATATTTGATTTAACTAATTACTGAAAAAAAATTTTAGTTAATCGTCATGAAATTTTTAACGTCGTTTCAAATTTTATGTCTTGGATTATATGTATAGAAATTCTTATTGACCCCATAAGAGGCGGTGTTAATTGTCAATAATTGCGAAATCTTCAATAATTAATAACCACAAAACGGTGTTGGGAATCAATCTCAAATTTTATACAGGCATCTATTATCGCTTCAAAAACATTATGCGACAATTTCAAGCATTTCTTATATCATCCTCAATGCATGCAAAACAACCGTAGGGATAAAACAATGTAAATCAATCCATTTCGATTAAGTATAATGCCAAATGAAGAAAAAAGCGAATATCTTTTCGCTTTTTTCTTCATCGCGCTGATCGCGCCCGTGATCAGCCTTAACTTTCGCACATCTTTTCATAATTATGTTTGTGAGGTGTCAGCAGCTGTAAGTGATTAATGAAATTAAATGAATTTCAGGAGGGTGTGTTTATTCGATCCATTTTCCTGGAAGGTGCAGGATGGGACAGAAAACGTGGCACGCTCACTGAACCAGCCCCCATGCAGTTAATCTATGAAATGCCGGTTATTCATTTTCGTCCAATCGAGCAACATAACAAGAAGTCAAAGGGTTAATTCCAATGTTTTTAATTAGTATGCCAGTGATTTGAGAACATAATGACTTGGATAATTGTTTGCAGGTTTATATGATTGTCCATGCTATTATTGCCCAGTGAGGGCCGAAACGACCAACAACTCAGGATTCGTTGTGACAGTCAACCTCGACAGTGGATATCAGACTCCTGAGTTCTGGATCAAACGGGCCACAGCCCTTCTACTCACTCTTGCTACTTAATACTATCAATTATCATCTAAATCTCCCATTTAATAGTTGTTTTTACTTAAATTTTTTTTTTTCGTCCACTTTATTATCGACCCGTTGACTATCAACTCCCCACCATGATAAGTCGATACATGATCATTTGTAGTAACAATACAACTACAATAAAGAACTTTACCTTATCGATCGAAAAATAATATTCACTGCAGATGGTGCAATAGGTAATTTTTAGTCATAAAGGAGAAGGAGAGAACACATCTATGTTTTCAAGGGTCTTAATCGTGCCCATGGCTCCTTGTTGAAGGCGTTAACAATAATCTAGATAGTGTTTCTCGTTATTTTATCCACTCGTGATTCACTCGTTTTTTTATTGAACGCATGTAATTCACTACTCCCAGCTCTTATTAATATGTATTATTTGATAGGTTGTGTTAACATTAAAAGTTGAGATTTAGCATTGAATCGACACACCTTATCCATTGAAGAATGAAAAGATTGTTCAATTTTTCCATTTTTATTGACTTATTCCGGTTGTGGGTGTATTAAATCGGTAGTTATATCACACGGCCGTCTGTCATGCCATTTTTTAATCATTTTTATAGGCAGTTCTCCTGATTAAATCCTCACTATATACTTTCATCAAAATGGGTAAATTTCGTATGAATGATGAACGATAATACTGCTAAAATCGTAATTCGATAGACTGAACCTGTTTATGCTGACAATCTCTAAATCATTGAAATTCTTCTCAGACGATCAGAGTGACTCCCAAAAGTGGCAACAGCATTTATCATTACTTCGATCCCAGTACGTTAATTTATATACAACAAATACAGAATTACGATACAAATATGAAATAGCCACTGCGAATGACAATGAATCAGGATTCATTGAGAGATTATTAACGATTGTTGCGTCGCTATATCGGCAGAAACGTTACAGGTAAAATATTTCAGATTATAATTTTGCAGTTTCATGAATTTATTATTTTTTATTTTAAAATTTTTTATTTACTCCAAGTTATTCTTCTTTTTTCTGAGTCTAGAAATTGAGAAATCCAGTCTTATCTGGGGAGTGATCATTGGAAATGATATTAGTTACTATGAAGAAATGAAAGTGTGGCCACTCTGTTCCCACTACTTTTTTTCATTTTTGGCCAATGTATCATTTGAACCTGTCTTTGAACTTTATCATCATTCATTGAACAATTGGCTGTAATAATTTTACAACGTCTTTTCACCACTCTTTTTCACACACAGAAATTCACAAGCATCTAGAAAAAAAAAAGTATAGAAAAAAAATCGCTTGTTTGGAATGTTAGTGAGTTATTTTAATAAAGACTTTTTAAAACGCTATATTTTATCATGTGAATTTTGATTAATAATCTGAGGAGGAGGCTTTAATACATCTTCAAGACAAATTTAGAGTTCCTCCTTAATGTAACCCAAAAGTAAATTACATTATCAACCTGAAATTACTAACGACATATTGTTATTAATTCTTCATTTTCGTTCTACCGAAAACAGCAATGTTGTAAACAACATCTTAACTAACCAAATGCATAAAAATTGAACATTTATCAGTGCATTACGCTTCCAATAGATTAAATATTATGTATACACTTCAACGTTATCACCATACACATGTCCTTTGTCTATATTGCAGTGATCTGACTATAAAATTGAATAATGGAAATGTGCCAGCTCATAAATTTATATTAAGCGCAAGGAGTGATTATTGGAATGCAGCAGCATTGGCAGATGTCTTCGAATTAGGTATGTATCGAAATAATCTTTCTTCACTACCTTATTGATTGAAAATTATTGAACATATATCTTCCGTTTGTTTTTTTTTCACTAATGGGATAAACAAAAACCTTGGTGAATGTATACGAAACATCCAGAATGAGTTTGTGGACCTAAACTAGACATTTACCAATGGAAAATAAAAAAAAGTTAATTTTACATGTCATCAGTATTGACATGGCCTTAGCGGCAGTACAATTTATGGAGTAATATTGATTCTCCCGATCAATGATATAAATTTTGATTATACAACCTGATGAATAATTTTTAATTTGTTCCAAAGTTCAATTTGATTTAACACTGATTTGTGCATCGAATTCGAATTAGCCATTAAGTAATTCTGTCGAACTAAGAAATTTATTAAATTCATTCCCAATCGTTGGGAATTCAATTTTATATCTTATTATATTGTTTTTTTTTAGATTGGAGTGATTTAGATGGTGATATTGGCTTAATATTACTGAAATGGATTTACACAAGCATCGTGGACAAAGAAAATTTGACTCTTGAATTTATGAAAGCAGCATCTAGTTTTCAATTGAAAGAACTTGTTGAACAATGTGAAACTTACCTCATTGGTACTGTCAGCCTCAAAGATTGTGTGGCACTTTATACAGCAGCGGAAGGATTAGGCGCTGAAAAATTGCGAGAGCACTGCGGTGCCCTTATGTCTACGCACTGGGTAAAGTCAATTTTACAATAATGTTTTAAAGAAAATGTCATTACGAAATACTGACTGTAAATTTCTTCAAGAAAAAAAATTTCATGGCTCCTCAGAGAACGCAAAACAAAGAAAGTGCAAATTTCAAAAATATCTGAAAAGAGTGAGTTCAAAAAATTAAATTTCACTGATTTCTTTCAATAAAAAAAAGTTCTTTATTGAATATTCAACGGGGAGAAACCTATAAAAATGTATTCGAATTAGAGCAGATATTTGCGAATTTTATGCCATATTTTCTGGTCCTGTCTCAATTTTTGTTGAATTAAAATTTTTCAACCCTTACATTAAGTTTCTATTAAGCTATCTACATTTCATATAGTTATTGTAATCACCGTCAAAAGCCAATTTCTATTCTTGAAGTAATAATAGTATCTCTGTATTTGTGTCATCGTGTATATTTTTTATTTTATCGTTGAATTTTCTGGCTATTTAACAAAATAATGGATACAAATTATTATAGGTAATTTAAGTGAAAGGAATCGTGGAAAAAGTGTTTCTTACTAGTAATTGACACATTATACATATAATTGTTATAGTGTTTTACATTGCTCATTTTTGTAATTAACTGCCTAAGAGGTAATTTTTCTTATGACTGAAAAAATCCGTGTTCGATTTTTCATGAAATTTCAGTATTTCCAGTCCCCTCGTTAACTTTCGCCCATTCTCGAAAACATGAACTGTCGTGACGAGAAACTCAATTATAGTATTATGCATATTGTTTTCTTTTAGTTACGGACATTTTTCTCAATTGATCCTCATTGCTGTCTGACACTGAATCATCCGTTTCAATATTTTAAATACTAAAACGATTTTTATTTATTTGCGATTGCACTATAGTTTATAAAGAGTTAATTTTCCGATTGATAAAGATTACTACGACTATTCCTATAGAAATGTAATGTAGGTGATTTGCTGGAATTCTGAAATCTTGGTTGACTCATCACATATAAATTGATCGCTCGAATTAAAGCTCATGTATTATTATACCAAGTAACCATGATATCTCTAATACATTCAGTGGTTGCTTCTCAACTATTTCACTTATTTGACAAATACCAACAAAGAATTCGATTTGGCAGATGTAGATACACCATCCAAATATTGTAATTTTACAGGACGACTTGACTGGTAATGATTTCAAGGAAATGCCCGGTGCTTTACTCTATCAGCTCTTGAAGACAAAAAGCAAATATCCATTGCATTCGGCTGTGAGATTGGAAAGAGAAGACGTGGTATTTCTATATTTGGTCGAACACAACGCGGAGGTGAGTAACTAATTCGCTAGTTTAGTGAAAGAAAAAAAACAAAAATCAAAATTATATACATTAGTGATGCACATAGCTTTTCTCTGTCAATCATTCCCGTGTCAGCGTGAATTAATAGTAACAATGGATATATCGTGACTCACGCCGATCATTGAGGCTGAATCATTCTGAGTTATCAACTTACTGCGAATATAAGTGAAGAAATGGTCAGCAAATAACAAGTTATATATATCATATAATTTTGTCCATTGAGAGTTTCTGTACGATTACATAGTGGATACTGACAGTAACAGTATTCAGGTGGACCACCTGGTGAACCTCTATCTTCGCCTACAAAACATCCTTCCTGGTATACTGACTGAACTATTTTATCTTGTCTATGCCATGCTCGCTCAGCGAAATCATAAGAATGGAAAACGTCAAGCTGGAGCGCACAACCTCGTTCCACACTTGTTCGAACTATACCTATTGAAAAAGAATAAAAGAAAATAAATCCATTAATTTTTTACTTAGGAATGGATCAAAATTTCAATAAATGAAGATTTTCTTTTAAAAATTAAGGACGGAGAATCATGTTTTCTCGGCTGAGGCGCACATGCTATTTTTCAACATGCCTACTAAGAAAATTTCGGATAAATGTTTAGTTCAGGTCCACCAAGCCATTTTGGATGTTGTATATATTATTTAGATGACTTTCCGTCATATGATTAAGGATCCGGGCACCATTTTAGAGGGGAACAATTAGCATAGAAGGTGTAGATGTTATTAGACCACTCTCTGCGTTATCCAGGGCCTCGACGACGACGTGGCGGTTTTGTCTTATAGACAATGAACACACAGAAATATAAATTTTGAAACAAATGAGCACATTTACTAACACTCTGAATTCACCTGACCCAACCACCTACTGTCACTAACTAAACACAACGAGTAATTTATCCGCCTCGACCCTTCTGTAGCAATTCAAATTGTTGAAATTATTCACTTGTCGTGTCGTGTCAACAGTGACAACAGGGAGGCAAGTCAAGACTTTCTGCCCTTGGCAGCACCTTTTTCGACAGGAAGCAAAGTGCAAACTTTTCGTGTAGTTGTGTTAAAAAAAAAAATTTAGTCAAGAAGATAATAGTATATTATGCCCCCCCCGCCGGGAGAAAATGCTTTTCGACAGTGGTACATATGCTACTTTATGTCCCAAGGGACAAAAAGCGCAATCGAACCGTGCGAAGCGAGGTTAGGATCACGCCTTTTTACACCCGCTGGGACATAAATACAATTATAACTATAAAAGTTTGTGTGAGCTCATGGTATCAGATATACAACTAACTTGCCTCACAGGTAATTCAGAAAAATGAGGTAGAAAGACAAATACGTTTTAACCGAATTAAATAGGCAAATATGGGCTTTTGTACATAAACATTCACACAAAATGTTAATAAACTTACTTCCGTTTCCGAGCCTATGGTGAATAGTTCGTTTCATACAAAGGGTTGATTTCGAACAGTAAGTTTGATAATTCGAGCTACCATCAAACTGACTGCAAATCTGACTAGTTTCTTGAATTGCGCCTGCTACCGGTGCTACTGTGCATGTGAAGCACGAAATTCCTTCGGAACTTATTTCTCCTATACCTGGTCATCAAAATTGCCAAAATAATAATTATTTAAATTGGTTGGGTTAACTCGACAATTAAGATGGACACTGAGCAACTCATTCTTACACATTGAAAATAAAATAGCCCATGAAAATGGATATACCCCGTGAGAAAGGTATCTCATGGTTTGAAAAACGTAGCATTACTCACGAACGCCATAAATTTCAATCATGTCGAACTTTTATTGATATATAGCACTTAACTAGAATCCATTATATGCACTCAAAGCTTGCAAATCGATATTTTCAGAAAATAGGCCACCTGATTTAATTATTTGTATTACAAGCTGCTATGTAAAATCTCCAAGTACTTAATACTATATCTGTACAGTAACAGATTATGCAAGCCTTGTATTGAAGTACATTCGTTCCCAAGTTGAGAGCTGATTCTTGTTAACTAGCGCTTGCGACAAGGTCTTTTTCCCACTTGCCATGCCACGTCATCCCTACCATTCACATACTCTCCACATTATATATGGGTATAAATATAAAAACCTGCTAACCTGAGCGTAAATATATGGTATGGCGTCCCCAGGAAGAGTTAAATTTTTATCATAGAGTGCACAGCGGGGATTCAGTCGATTGCCAAATAGTTCTACGAAAAATATAGTCTGCGACAAACATTAAATTCTTTCACGTAGACGTTCTATAGAAATCATGTATCACGCGGCCGGGCATTATAGAAAACTGTATTGCCAAGAGTGTGAAGTACATAGTATTTCTCGGTGGTTTTCTCAACTTCTGCATTTGACTGGCGAGTCACTCTTTCGATAACGACTGCCACATACAAATAATTCCATAAGCTAATTAACCGCATTCGTTCCAAGTTCTATTGAATTTACATGTCATTTCTATCGAAGATCCCGCCTTATTTCCGTATTTATCAACGCATATACGAATACTACAAACTCATTGATATTGATTTCTTTCTTTTGGTAGGCATTCTTAGTGATTACTTTTTTTTTTTAATGCGGGTCACCTATAGCATCAAACATGAAAATTTAGCGCAAAAACCGCTCGTTTATCGATAATTCGTAAAAACTGCAATTGGTTTCAAATGTTTCCGACACTACTTTTTGATTAAACTTGCAAAAATATCAAAAAAGCCTACAAATGAATTTATTTAGCAAAAGGAATGATTTTTCCTCAAAATTAAGAAAAAAAAATGAGGGAATTTCAATTCAATGTTATGTGTGTGAATGTATCGTTATATCAGGCCAAAATGCCGAAAAATTGTAGTAAAACTACATAAAACTTCTTTCAATGAAATCTATCAAGTAATATACCATATTTTTGCGAATGTGTTCAAGTGTCCACAGCTCCCATTCAATGTAATTGAGGAAATAAAAACTTACAACATTTTCCTAATGGAATATTCCAATATATTTGTTCATAATGCGAGTTGAATAGAATTAACAGATTTAAAATATCATATGAGCAATGCAGATTATTTTCTAGCGACAGCGCAGATTCCCTCATTAGTTTCCATAAGGTTATTTACGCTAGAAATAAGTGTGGGAAATAATCTTAAGATATTATCAACATCCCTTTTTTGGCATTGCTGCTACATTCACCTCGTGTCGAAAAGCGTGTTTTCGTTTCCCAGATAGCACACGAACGCGTACGATACTAGTACGGTGTGAGTGTGGCGTACTGCACCGTACTGGTACCGTACGCGCCATCTACGTGCGTATTCTACCAGTATAAAACTAGTATGGCAGGCCAGTACACCGTACGGCTTGCCTACTAATAGCGTACCTCTATGGAAGTACCTATATTGACACTGGTGTATAAATATATTACTGGTACGGTACGCGTACGGCGTACCAGTATACTAGTAACTAGTACCATAATGGTACAGCATTAGGTACAATACCACGATTATACCAGTACGCGCCATGAAATACGTACCGAACCCCCCTGCCCTGCCCTTCTTCCCACGGTCTCTATTATCAAAAAACAATGAAAAATTACCAAAATATATGAAAAATAATTTTATTTGCAGAACAATACATTTTTACAGAGGATTTTAAAGTGATAATGAAACATTTAAATAACTTACAACTCTATATAATTGATATGTTAACTAAATTCAATAATTGATCGATTGAAGGTCCTGATAAACTATCTATTGAACCTCATTTTTTGTTTAAATTTTATCGTGTTAGCTTAAAATACTGCTATAAAATAGGTTTTAAAAAAAACGAAAAAAAGAGAAGAAAATTATTGAAGAGCGCTAAAGAGCGATATTGTTTAAAAACGATCTACGAAGTTTACTAAAAAATAAGAAAAAATACGCAGCTTACCATTGCATCTAGCTGTCACTCAATCTCCTGGAGAAGAATGGTAAACTGCGTATTTTTTATTATTTTTTAGTAAACTTCGTAGATCCTTTTTGAAACAATATCGCTCTTCAGCGCCCTTTAATAAATTTTTCCTCTTTTCTCTCATTATTTTTTTTTTAATTTATTATTTTATAGTAGTATTTTAAGTTAAAACGATAAAATTTAAACGAAAGATGAAGTTCAATAGATAGTCCATCCAGGTCTTAAATTTAAATTTAATAATACTATCCATACTATGACGATGACATTTCGCTGCTTGGGGAGATGTGGGCATCGTCGAACGTCCCGTCTCGTTGAGAAGTGCTAAAAAAGAAAAAAACGAACAATATTAGGGTAAAAATGGCATTCGTTATAAAATTAATATGGTAATCATTACCTGTGAGACACAGTGTACATTTTGTCCTGAAGCCATTCTCAAGTTGTACCTGAAAAAGAAAATCATTAATAGTGGAAGGGGCTCCAACCTCGCCCCTTCCTGTGAGACACAACCAACATTTTGTCTCTCCAATTCATTTAACAGCTGCACCTGAAAAAGAAACAGAAGTATTAGTAGTGAAAAGGGCCCCAACCCCGCCCTTTTCTGTGAGGCGCAACCAAAACTTTGTCTCTCCAAGCAGATACCTGAAAATAATGAGAATAATTAAAGGGAAAACAGCCCCTCCCCGCTGTCTTCTGTATGTTCAACCATAAAACAGCACCTCCAAATAATTAAAATTAGGGAAGAAAAAAGAAGATATAGCTCACGATAGATGGCCTCTCCCTAAAGCAGATCTCCAAAGAGCTCGTGCCAATCCTCATCCTGTTCCAGCTGCGGGTCCTCGGCAATACGACGTCGTTGAGGGGCTGGGTTGTGAATTTCCTCATCTTGCCGCGGGCGTTTGCGACGACGGCGCTTTTCCAGGGCCTTCAGGGACCTCTGCATGCAGATGCAGAATTGGTCGTCCTGTGGCCCTGGAAATTTGTTGTTCCTCTGCATGGCCTCTGAAAGAAAGGTAGATGGTATGAACATCTGAATCATTATGAGACAAACCATAAGTACTTACCACGGCAAGCACGGTCGCAGGATGGCCGTCACGGGGAATCCCCTTCCACGTGATGTCCTCCGATACCAATTCCTCGGGGTGGAATGCCGCATGGAAGTAAGCATTCGCACATTCCTGCGGATTATCCTCCCCGAGATGGACGAAAAATGCAACCTGTTAAAATAGTGACCAATTAATATTTGTTGGATCGCTCTAAAAAAAATTAGAAAATAATTATTATACATACTAAATCATCGAAAATGCCAGGGTCTGCATTTTCAAATGCGAGGAAATCCTGCAAACTCTTCAGCGGGAATCCTTCAGGGAGGTCATCAGGTCTCTGGAATTGTTGACGCTGATATTGCCTGAAAAGAAAGAAATATTGAATTAGAATTCTGAGTCTCATAAGATTCAT